CTTGGCGCTTTCTGTTCCTAAAAATGCAAAAGGAGACATATTAGAAAGAATCTGGGAGAATTTCTAATTTGCTTTGCTGACTGGATCTCACTGTAACTTGAGTGTTAATGTGTTTGTTAATTTCTTTGTGTATTCTTATTAATTTCAAGAAGGTGAATAGGGACTAATACAGTTGTAACCACTTTAAACTTTCATAAATATTGCTAATATTAATGTTACTCATTTAAAAGTATTTATTTTTCTTGTTTTCAAGTAACAGGCACATTGTTAAAGTCAGTATTTATCTTTTCGTAATATCCTGGGATATAGCACCTTATTTTCTGCCTTATTGGACATCAGCTGGTAAGTTAAAGGATACTGGTAGATGCCCAAGAAGAGGAGGGGGTCAACTGTTGAGGTGTGATCTGCTCAGGACCTTAGGATCTCTTGTTGTTCACCAACACAAATGCTCCACAAGTGCTTTTGGTCAGTGTATCACACAAACGAGCTACACTGTGGTACAGCAAAGAAAAGGGACGCTACTCTAACACGTCAATAGGTTCTAATGCATGTTTTGAATGTTTTTATCTGTATATTATATATATTGGCTCTAAAAATATATTGTATTTAAATTTAAATGTTTTAAAAAAGATGTCAGTAGTTTTGAATTACTCTGAAAATAACTTGTGATTGCATACTGTAACCTCTTCAATGTGAGGCATTAGTTATTCATTGGGATAGCCTTGTGTCTGGTTTTGAATCCTAGCCAATGCCCAAGCCTGTGGGGATAATCTTTCTATAATCTTTCTAATCTAACTATAAACTATAGATTTACTGGAAATAAGGGATTTTGAAATGCGCATGGATATCAACCAAGGAGGAAACACCTCACTTACAGCTTAGAATCAGTTAATCAGTACATTTATACTAATCACATCCTCATGAGAAAAAAAGAGGAAAGAAAGCAGAAAATAATTCAGAACATATGATTGAAAAGAGGTGTAATTGTTTTTTGTAATTATACACAGAAACGTGTTTCTTATACTGTATCTTAGTACACAGATTAAAGAGCACTTACTTTCCAGTATTGTCTTTTGCTTCCCTCATGCTTGTCTGTAAGATAATTGAAAACAAGAAATCGTAAAAGACCTGTAAGCACTATATCCCTCCGTTTTCTGTACTACTGTTTCTGCCCCATTGGGATACATTTGGGATACATTTCTGGAATCACAGAACTACATCTTCTTGCCACTTCAAAATTCCATTTTTCAAAAAGCACTTCCAGAATTATTATTCCATTTCCAATGCTCTCTATATTGTCTATAGTATTTTTGTGATTCAGTATGTTACTGTTTTTATGTGGCTATACTTAAATTCTCTCAAGAAATGAAAGGTGATCCAGAATTCAGCAGCACAAGCAAAGCAGCAAAAGGTCATCAATCAGGCTTGCCCTTGCTCTCATTTTCCCAAGTCTGTAAAATACAGAAGCTTGGCACTTACAATGTTTTTCTGAAGCTTGTCACCAGAAAATTACTTTGTTGTGCCAGAGAACAAAGATAACTTGTTATTTTAACGCTACAATAGAAGCTGAAATCAAATTATGTTTATAAGTCGGTTCACTGCAGATAATACTGAAGTAAATGATTCAATGAAAATGTAATTTAGAAGAACAATTTCAAAGCATATAAATTATATTTCATTGCCATTAATATTTTAAATCTATACATTTAAGTGTTTTATTGAATGTGTTTTGGCTGGTTATGTTAGACAAATTTACAGCATTTAATTTTGACTGAGTTTTTCCACGTTTTTCCCAATTTAAATATTTTTTTAGTGTGCTATTTCAAAAATTATAATTTGCATTTTTTATATTTATACCCACACAGTTTTGGCTACACATTATGACTTGGACTAATGCTACATACCATGCATCATGCACAAACCATTGTTTAGTCTCTTCTTTCTTAAGTAATAATGTTTTTAAGATTGTCTTATATGCATTTATTCTGTAAATACTCAGATACCTTATCCATGTTGTTTTTTGCTAGTAAGGAATGTTTCCTGGTGACCTCTTTTAGTGGATCTGTTAAAAAAAGATAATATACTGTAACACTGTCAGCCATTGTTAGTATACAAAACTGCAGGAGGCACACATACACACAAAAACAAGTGGTAGACTAATGGCAGCACTAAGGAGAGGCATGAACTACTTTAAAAATACATTCAAATACTTCTCCATTTCATGACATGTATAATATCACTTAAAACAAGAGCTGCTCATTACAAAATGAGGTTCCTAGCCTTTTTGTTGTTTACAGTGTGCACATTGCTCCCTGTATAGGCACTGATAGTGGGCAATGGATCCTTTAAATTTGAAATAAAGTCATAAACCATTTAGAAAAAGAGGATGTCATTGTTTTCTTATAAATCAGTGCTATGTACAACATACAGTAGATTATTCCAGTGTATCATGTTTTAGGTAAATCACAGTGTATTCATTCCTTAATGCCTTAAAGACTGTGTCAATTACTCCTATAGAAAAACACCAGGCTTGGATTCTGACAAAATGATTGACCATTTCTATCTCAGGAGTTAGATAGAAAAAACCTTAGATGTGTGGTTGCACATCAAATACAGTCTTATATGATAGCCAATGACTTGTTTGAGCCATTTCAGTCTGGTTTCCACTTAAATCATAGCACTGAGACTGCTCTTTTCAGGGTTTTGAATGATTTATTTATTGCCTCAGACTCAGGAGCTACAGTATACAGTAGATATCCTTATGCTTCTTAAAGCTGCTTTTGATACTGTAGCAACACAAAATTATTTAAATTGCTGGCAAACGTTTTTGTCTATCAGTGGTACTGTCCTTAACTGGTTCTGTTCTTAACTGACTGGCAGGCAGCATATTTATAAAATATAATAACAAAAATAATAACAAATAAATTTTGTTATTATTAAATTTCAGCAAAGGAATGAACCGATGCAACCATTCAAAATGCACGGTACAAACCCGTACCACACGCAATTACCCACAAGTCACTGCTTTGTACCGCGGTACGTGATTGGCTGGCCAGAATGACCGACAGGGGCACTCGTGGTGCATTGGTCATTAGTGAAAAGATTGAATAATTTCATCTCTTTACTGTGCATGTTTTAATTTGCTTAGTATTGAATATTTATATGTACAGATGCAGCCATTCAAAATGCATGGTACAAACCCGTACTGCAGGGCAACTACGTGTGCGTCACAAGCCTGTTAACAGCCTGTTTTTTGGCTAAAAAATCACGCCCGACAAAGTGAAGTAACATTAACTAGCAAAGAGAGGACATTAGCTAGCCAAAATGATAAAGCAATAAATGACTTTTTTTGTTTATTTAAACGTTATGTCAGCCAAACATGTATGTAATGTCTGCCATACGGCGTACGCGTTACTGAGGCTGAACGTTTAGCCTTTGTTACTAATGTAACCACTAAATAAAGACAGAAATATAGAAATCCCTACATTACAAACTCCAAGCATTTCATTTTGTCTATTGCTACAATATCGACAACAGTGCAGTTACAATGTTTCCAAAATAAGCAAAATCTAATGATTTGAAGGTTTTGATAATAATAGAGAAATCATAACAATGACCCCGTACTGCTTCATGCTATTCATGTTTACCCAACAAAAAAAGGACAACTAATTTGACACGAAAATACTTAATTTTTTCATTGACAAAAAGTAACGCCACACTCTCTTGATTAACCGGATTGTTTTGTTTCTGCACAGACTGTTAAACTAGAGAAAAAGAGCGCCTCTTCGAAGCATTTTGTTGAATTTATCGGATCGGATCAACGAAATGCTGTGGTGTTACTTTTTGTCAATGAAAAAATTAAGTATTTTCGTTTACAAAGACGGTTACAAAGAAAGTGGATCACAATAATACTTTGAGCTTACAGCCTGTCCAGGGTCATTCATTATTAATACTATTAGTAATATGTTCCATAAAGACTTTGATGCATAATTAAAATATTTATGATAAAGGTGGTAGGTTGTGTGCTTTTGTCCAACTGAGCTATCTTGCTTTTATAAAATATACCGACTTTTTAATGTTTAATGATTTACATGCTGTAATACAGACTTTAAATTATTAAAAGTCTAAAGAGTATACAAACTTAAATTCTTAATTGGAAAAAGATTGTCCTTCAGCAGTGACTAGGATTTGAAACCATGCATTTTCTAGTTACAGCTCAAATGCTTTACATGAGAGGTTAAGCTTTATTAGCTCCACCTGGCAGTGATTTGGGATACTATTATCATAACTGTGGTATTATACGGTATGACGCGATATGACGCATTGTGTTGTGACATGCCCATTGCGTTTTACCACAGCGTACCCCACTAATTTTGAATGGCTGCATCTGTACCTATGAATACCTATGAATTTGGCATAATTCTGCCAAACCGTTGCACAAAATCCGTTTATTTTGCAAATAATTAGTGGTCGTAAAGTAGATATTTATCAATTTCTAAACTGAATATTACCCTGAAAAATTTAGAACAACATAATCTAAATATTGTACATTATATACACAAACTGTAAAAAGACTATTCACAACCTGTACACACTATTTTGTAATCAAAAATTCACATAAGAAGAATGCCTCCTACGTTACACATGATAAAAGACATTGTGTCTACGGGGCTGAGGTAGATATGGGCCTTCTATATATTATGCCGGTCTGCATGTCCTTGGTAATCAGGCGCACTGTTCTTGGGAAGAAACTGTTCATACAGTAAACCTGTTTCTTCGGGTCTTAATGCTCTCTGGCCTACAACACCAAGGTTATGTTTAGTGTCTTGCCAGGTAAACAGACTTTAGCTAGGGTGGAGTGTGTCTTTGATGATAGCGTGAGCCTTGCTCCTGCAGCGGGCTGTATGGAGTTTCTCCAACCAAGGAAGTTCTGTTCCAAAAATGCGTTCAGCTGTTCTAATCATTCTCTGAAGGATGCATTTGTCATTCTGGGTAGCACCGCCGAACCGCACTGTAATACCTCTAGTCAAAATGCTCTCAATGGCACCATGATAGAAACTAACCAGTGGATGCCACTCCTCTTTAGGCACCTCAGAAAGTACAGACACTACTGTCCAGCTCAGCATGTTTTTAATATGTAGGCCAAGAAACTTGATGGAGTCAACCTGTTCAATATCAGTACCATTGATGTAAACTGATTGGTGGGGATTGATATTTTTCCTGAAATCCAAGATCAATTCTTTTGTCTTAGAAGCATTAAGAAGAAGGTCATTATCCTTACCATAATTGGTCAGGTCTCTAATTAGCTTCCTGTAAGTAGACTGGGCAAACGATTTTTAAAATTTTTTAAAAAGAAATAAAAAATGAGATATAATGATGTGTTCCTGCTTAACTTAGACATTGCACAACTTTAAAACCTATAAAAACAGGTTTAGAGAGTTAAAAAAACAGTTTTTATGCGCGAAAAATGGGTGATTTTTCTTCCTCGTGATCAGCTCAGAATCTTTGTGTACGCTATAAGGTTTTTACTTCTTAATTAAATGTTTAAAATACACAAATTTCATAAAGACAACACATGTTTTGAAAAGAAAAAATCCCATTATTTTCTCTTCCTGTTGTGTGAAACTGATCAGCAGGTCTTTTTTTCTCAATCAGAGGCTCTGAAAATAGTGTACCGCCCACTGCGCTCCGTCAGAGAGGGGCGCGGCACCGAGAGAGGGAGGAGGCGTGGAGCTCAGCAGTACAGAATGAACGTTCTGCTGCCTGTAGCGCTTATGGCAGCAATCGCGTTTGCATTTATAACTTAGTTTTTAAAATTAATCAAGCAATATGAACCTCTTCATACCTCTTTTTACTTTTAAGTCACTTAATTATCATTAAGCACAGCTTTCTCACCACTTAGACTACTTTTTGATACCATCC